CAATGAAGAGCTGAGACCAGACAGGAACTCTTGAGAGGGAAGTTTGTTGAAGTCTGGGTCAGAGAACTGCAAATGTTTGCAGTTCAGGAACACATTGCAAATACTGTATTCTTTGAGGCCAGGAGGCAAATACAGAATATTACGTAGACACTTCCAATCTGAACACTATTCTTACCTGTGGGGCTGTGCAATAACAAGCAACTGCATTTGGCCCGTGAACTATGGTGTGCTGACTCCTGGCATAAAACTAAGATTATAAATAATAGCTGGGTGTGATGGTATATACCTTTAATCCCAACATTTGGGAGGCAGAGGCTGGTGGATCTCTGCAAGTTCAAGGCCAGCATGGTCTACATAGTGAGTTCCAGGACAGCCGCAGCTACATAACAGAGAGACCCTATCTCAAACAAACAAACAAAAAGATTATATGCTGGGCAGTCCTGGCACACATCTTTAATCCCAGTACTCAAGAGGCAGAGACAGGCAGATCTGTGTGAGTTCGAGGCCAGCCTGGTCTACAAAGCCGAGTTCAAGGGCAGGCTCCATAGTAACACAGAGAAACCCTGTCTCAAAAAACAAGCAAAACAAAACAAACAAGATTATAATAATGGTTTGGGTCTGGCTTGAGTGTACCCTAAGAGCCCATGTATTGAAGCATAATCCTCATCCTGAGGAGAGGATGGAAACTAACTATGAGATTTAGTAGTGGGTATTTTGAATGCGATTAGATTAAAGAAAAGAAAAGGACACAGATGAGACTGTTTACTTTGAAGCAATGTGACACTGGGCCAAGGACATGGGATGCACTGTGTCCCTTTTTCTATAGAGGAATTCTATCTGATACATCAGCAGGGACCTTATGTTCTAGATAAGGTCACGGGGACGAGCTAGATGATCAAATCTTGGTGGCTTTATAAGACAAGGGAGGCAGAACAAAAGACTCCCACCCTCCCTGTCTCTTGTCACATGGTAACCTGTACAGCCTCAAGGCTCTGTCCGCAAGGAGTCCCAGGAAAGCACAGCGTGCACTTTAAAGGGAATAGGAGCTAGTGTTTCTTTGGAGCCAAATATAAGTAAGCATGGTCTGGGAACACAGAATCAGGTTATTCTAGAAAGTCCCGACAGGGTAACAGTTCCACTGTTCAGGGCTGGGGGGTGTTTCGGCCAAGTGTTGGCTTTGCAATCCTGAGAACTGAGTTCAGTCTCCAGAACTGACGTGACAAATGTCGGTCACAGTAGCACTTGCTTATAATCCCAGCAGCAAGGAGGCAGAGACCGGAGGGTCCACGGGACCTACTTTCATCCGTGAGCCTCAGTCAATGAGAGGCCTTGTCTCAAAGGACATGGGCAGCCTTCCCAAGAATGACATCCGAGGATGTCTCGAGCCTCCACACATGTTCACACACATACACGAGTTCATAAGCATGCACGAGTGTGCACACGGACTCACATGCATTAAAAAATTAAAATACATTGTTTGGTAGAAATACCAGGGCAGGCACTTTTTACAGCAAAGCGTGGAGATCTGTGTGGTAGGCCTCAGGGGCTGATGACAGCCCTTGGGTTGGTGGAGGCTGGGGGTTCATTTGCACATTCCAGAAGGATTTACTTCTTAGTCACGAGGAGGAATGTTAGGTCAAACACAGGGGTGGGTGGGTACAGAATGGCTATTTAAAGATATCTCAAGATAATTAAACTTTGGATCTGCAACATTCCAGTCCTCACAGAAATTCCAACCGGTCGACCAGCTGTGTGGAGTCTGTAACTCACGGGTGCAGCTTTTGTGTTCTGGGAACTTCACTGATGCTATCACAAGATGTGACCCTTCAAGCTTACATCCCCAGAACCATACACCGAAAGAAACTTCCTTTCTTATAACTTTCTCGGTCTGTGGTAACATGTTACTGGCAATGATAAGCGACAGATACATGCAGACGCTAACAAACATTAAGCAGACTAGATTTCCAGGTACAGCTCACGACTTCGCACACTTGCTCTACTAGAATATGCTGGAGGGAGCAGGTGTGTTTTGAACAGGCCTCACATGTGGTGATGTCCATGGGGAAAAGAATGGACCGTTTGAAAAAGCCTGCATCCAGGCCTTCCCTTTCCTGGGGTGGACTTTTCCAGAATGATTATGTTTATTAGGTGCAGACCACAACAGATGCTCTGCTCACCCCATGGAGCTTACTGGGCAGCAGGAAGATGAAATTATTCCCTCTGCTGTGGTGTGGTGACTTCTAACAGCAGCTTGGATCCAGTCTTCTGCCTCACCCTGTTTCAGGGATTAGGAGAGACTTCCTAGAGGAGGAAAGCCCAAACTGAGGCCTGAAGACTAAGAAGGAGTTAGCAAGAGAGAGAGAACTCACAAGTCCAGCGACGGTTTACAGAGCAGACAAAGAACGTTGGAATGTTCTAGGCGCTGCAAATGTTTTGTACAGCCTGTGTTGGTCAGCTTTGTGGTGCTGTGGTAAACTCCACAACCAGAAGCAACGTAGGGAGGCGAGGGGTTCTTTCAGCTGACAGCTGTGTTATTTCACACAGACCATCACAAAGGGAAGGCAGGGCAGGACCTGGAGGCAGGAGCTGAAGCAGAGACCATGGAGGAGGGCTGCTTACTGGCTTGCTTCTCCATGGCTCACTTGCTTTATTATACAACCCAGGGTCATCTACCCACAGTGGCACTGCCCACAACAGCCTGGGCCCTCCGCTTCAACCATTAATCAAGAAAATGCCCCACATACAAGCCCACGGCAAATCCGATGGAGGCAAATTCTCAATGGGGTTTCCCAGGTGACTCTAGTCTGCGTCCAGTTAACAAAAACTAACCAGCACACAGCCACACACTATCTCTCACAAAGAACACTAGCTGTGTTCTCAGCAGAGCACCCAAAACCCAGAAACTCATGTCAAAAGCAATGTTCCTACACCTGGGATTTCTTGTACCTCTGCCCTGTTGCCATTTGGGGCATTGTTTGTGGTAGGAGGCCATTCTGGGCATCACAGGATGTTTAGCAGTAACTGTAGATGCCCGTAACAAGCAGTCAGCTGTAACGAAGTGTCCAGACATTACCAAATGACTCTTGGGGAGCTGAATCTCCCGATGGAGAGCTACTGCTATGGGATGTGACGACAAAGAGCATCACTGGCTTCTTCCTAGGGCACAGCTGGGGATACTTGGCTGTGTAAGTGTTCTTAGATATAGCTGCTTATTACTCTACTTTGCCGAGCAAAAAAAGGTGACCAGATGTTTCAGGAGGATTCAACCTTCTCCCTCCAACAGCCACTTAAGACTGTCCCTAAATGTGGCTTTATGAGAGTCTGTCCCTCTGTGTGGGACATCCAGAGAAGCCCAAGATGATTTTTTGATGTAGGAACATCAGCTTTCATATCAGCTTCATTCCTGTAGTCCAGTGTGGTGAATACACATTTTAGTAAATTCTGTCTTATTCTAAAGCATTTTTTATCTACCAGTACCCCACAGTACTAACACAATTGCCAACCACAAAGTAGGCGAGGAAGAGTTCTCTTGCTCAGTTCTTCAGGAGTATGGCCATTGTCTACCTTAGGATCATACATTTACCTCAAAGATACAAGGAGAAAATACACTGACCCAGTTCCTCGTGGCCAAATTAATAAAAGCAAGTAATTAATTAAAGCAAGCTTTTTTTTATTTGTGTACAAGGGCTGCCTCCCTCTAAGGCAGGGTTCAAGAGGCCACCATTGGATGTGAGGAAGATAAGGTTTTTATAGCTCAGGAGTAGGAGATTTCCAAATGGGGAATTTGGTGGGCCAAGTAGGCAGGGTTATAAGAGCAGAGCATAAGCATGACAAGTTAGTCATAACAATCTCCTGAAATAAAGACATGACGCGAGGTTGTTGATGTAACCAACCGTCTTATTAAATAAGAAACACAGAAACAATGTAAAAGAGAAAGCCGAGAAGTCAGAGCTCAGAGCTAAAATCTCACACTTCCTCCTACTGTCCCAGCTTCGCGAAAAGAGACCTACTTCCTGTCGGTTCGTTTTTTTAAAGTATGTTGTTCTGCCTTCTCATTGGTTGTAAACCCAAACACATGACTGCCTC